CACTTAGGTTGGTCAAAGTTTTGTTTTTTTAAAGGATTTGAGGGAAAAGATTTTTCTTAACACAGCATGGATGTAACCAAATCAAAAATAAAATCAATACGAGAACATGTATTTGGCAGAAGGCGATTGCTTTTAAAGTGTAACTGCAGTTTAAGTTTCAAATAAGCATTTGATCTAAGCCCACCACTCATCCTTAGATAATTCAATTCAAAAAAGTGTTTTGACTGTACCTTCATGAACCTGAAACACTGTTAGGTAAACTCAGGTGGAGGGTAAATACTGATGATTTAGTCCCTCATCACAGTTTCAGCTAATTAAAACAAGAGTTCTGCCTGCCTTACATAATTCAGGTTCTTTGCTGGTACAAACTGACACAGGCAACATCTTCAGATTTCTTCATCTTTAAGAAAAACAACTATTTCGAATCACTCAGGTCACCTGTGGTTGATCAATTAAGGTTATTAACAGCTAATAACTACAACTGCTTTTCTCCAAGCTGGATCATCCAGATACCAAAAAAGTCAGCCTTACATTACACATGCTACAACTCTAAAAACAGCTTCTACATCCAAAGGCTATCAAGGAAGGTCTCTTTCCCCTTCTCTACTTGGAATTAGAATTTTTCTCCCTTCCCGGCACACAGTCACGCTCCGAAAGATATAAAAACACGAGGACATTTGAGAGTGTTTCAAGGCATAAAAGCACCAAAAAAAACAAAAGTTTGGGCATTCGTTTTTTTTAACTAACTAGGCTTTCCAGGTGGCGCAGTGGTAAAGACTCAGCCTGCCAATGCAGGAGACTCGGATTCAATCCCTGGGTGGGGAAGATTCCCAGGAGTAGGAAATGGCAACCCACTCCAGTATTCTTGCCTGGAAAATTTCATGGACAGAGGAGCTTGGCGGCCTACAGACCATGGGATCACAAAAAGTCAGACACAGCTGAGCACACACACCACACTTTAACTCACTAGCTAACAGTAGAATAAAACTGAATTTGTTTGAAGAGCACTGTGGAACCCTGAGAGCTCAAAATGTCCATTCTTTTACCAAAGTGGCCTAAATAACGTATTTGGGATTCATTTGTGTACCACGTAAGAACAAAGTTCTTGCAAATTCTGCTTGAATTTAAAATAAAAAGTGTTTCCAAAGTATTTGTCAAGAGGACTCTAAAATGTCTACAAAAATAAATAAATGTCTACAAAATAATGCTCCTCAACCAAGATCACTTGATTTTGTACATATTATGCTCCAAGCCTACTGAAACCATTTAAGAATGATATTCCTCTTAAGATATCACAAACACACTCATTAAAATCATATTCTTTTCAACATAAAGACTTACACGTTCTACTACTAATTTAGGCCTGCTTTCCAAAGAAGGCCAACATGCGACCCAATAGTTTTCAAAAACAAAAAGGGTTCCAGAGAAAGGGGGAGGGGTGGGGCGGAAATCATAAATGTACCCATTACACAAAAGTAATGCTTGGCATAAATCAAACAGAGGTGCTGTGTTTTAACATAAACTCTAAATATCAGGACTGAAATTTAACAAAAGTATAAGCAAACAGTAATTTGGAACAGGTAGGCAGTCAAACTGATATATCCTCAAGAAGGAAAAGAAAACTATAACAGAATTGAAATCTTATTTTATATAGTAGGAAACGGAGAACCCAGAAAGGTAAATGATTTGTTCCATATCATAGTTAATGGTAGATCTTACCAGAATCAAGTCTTCTAATTCTAAACCCAATGTTCTACTCAACTACCAAAAATAACTGTGGACCGCGAAGTTCTCAATGCTCTTTTATAATCCAGTTCTTCGTGCTTTTCATTTTACTGTGCCCTGCGTGGTATTCCCTGACTGGTTAGAATAACCCTCATTCTAAAAGAAAAAATCACTTTTTTCAAATATCACACAGGGAAATAAATTTTTAAACAAGTAACAAAAGTACACACCTCTTGAAAGATGGCTTCCCAAGTTTCCAGAAGAGATTTTAACCTCCCTCTGACAAGCTCAAAAATGGGGCCAGAAACCTACCCTCCCACTTGTTGGCAACAAGGTAGCTCATTCCTACGTAAATTACGTAGATTCCACATAATTTACGTAGTTTCCAGGTAAATTAACGTTCATCAGACAACTGGCATCATGTACGTCTGCAATCAACACTAAATTCTCAACCTCTCGGCAAGGAAGACCACAGAGTCCCTCAGATCAGGAATAACATCAGCAGGGCGAAAGGGAAAAAGCGTTTTGGAAAGAACGTTCATAACTTGATTCTTCAATAGCAAGAACCATCCAAAAGCTCTTTGAAGCATTTCCGCATCTATGACATTTCAATTCCTGAAAACTGGCTTCCCTGGTGGCTCAGCGGTAAACTATTGAGCCCGTGCTAGACAGCGGGGACAGCATCTACTGAGCCCACCCGCGGCAACTACTGAAGCCCAAGTGCCCTAGAACCCCTCCCCCTGGGCTAGAAGAGAAGCCAGGGCGATGAGAAGCCGGTGCACCGCTGCAAACGAAATAAAAACAATAGATTCCTGAGACTGAAAATAATTTGGGAAGAACAAACCCCCACTCCAAGTGGAAAAGGCTCAGGTCCAGACCTGCTAACCTTGATTAATAATACACACCTGACACAAATGTTGTAATTAAAACCTAGTCCTTCTAAAACATTAATCACACTTTTATCCAACTCACAAAATCGGTTACTTCTGCTCTTAACAAGAAACCTGAAACCAATCTCATGTCAATTATAGATTACACTGCAAATGAGAACCAAATGAAAGGTGTCAGTCATTAAAGTTTTACAAGTATTACAAAGCAAAAAACGTGGCTTTTATGTAACCATAAAAATAACATTGTATATATTGCATCTACATAGTGTGAGTTTCTTACCAGCCCTGGAATAAAGAATTGTATCTCTCCAGAAACAAAGATCCCTGGGACATACCTGTTACTGACAAAACCAGGGTCTGGATTTGGGTCCAAATCATTGTGATCTGATTGTGTTATCTAATCATAACCTGATCTGACATCGTTCTACAAAAAAACCACCTCCCTTTCCTTGAAACAAAAAATGGATCATACAACAACTAAGAACTCTCAGAGGAAATTTTAATTAAAAAAAAATCACTCTCTGTTGTTTTCAGGGATTTCACCAGTAATTGAGGGCCATCCCAAATGCTCATTCTCTTTTTTAAAGAATCTGACCAGACTGACTTTGAAGTCATCATCAGACCAGTCACTGAACAGAAAAATCCAGGGGAAAACCCCTAACAGGGATTAGCCCGAACTTTATATTTCCTTTCCAGAGCTGGAAATAATTGCGCTTGGAAAGTCCCCCAGCAGAACCGTATTTGCCACACTACAATCCAGCCTCAGGTGTGAATTTAAACCAGGAGACGGGGCAGCAGTAGTGGTGAGAGCGAGGAAAAGACAGAAGGGGGTGCACACTGGTCCAGGATCTCTGGAGCCCGCCGCACGGCCGGCATACACGACTGGCAGCTACACACACCAGAACCACCACGTTGCAGGCCGAGAACAGAGCTTCGCGCTCACCCTTGAAGGTGGCACTACAGAGCCACCTAGGAGACACGGGCATTTCATTGAAGACTCAATGAGAGTGAATCAAGAAGCCTGCGCTAATGCAGCTCCCAAAGCTTCCAGAGTGTGCGTGTGCGCGCGTGCGTGCGTGTGTGTGTGTGTGTGTTTGTGCGTGTGTGTGTTGCGGGGAGCCGGGGGGTGACGTGGGTGGGACAGGGGTGACGGTAACGCAAAGAACTGAAGCAGCAGCATCCAGAGTAGATAGTGGCCTGGCATGAGAGAGAGGAAGCGGCCCAGACTGAAGAGGTCTGGACCAGAGGGGAAGTGAGGGGACCGGGACCGGCAGAAGCTACGAGACTGGATTGAGGAATTAAAGGCTGAAGGAAAGGGTGGAGGCCGCCAGACAGAGGCAAGTGGGCGGGGCTGGGAGATAAGCGAGGGCGGGACAAGGTAGAAAACGGGGGGTGGGATTTGGGGGGGGGGGGGACCAGTGAGGGGCGGGGCTTAAAAGGGGCGGGGCGCGGAGGGGAGAAGCTAGGGGGCAAGTGGGGGGTGGGGGGTAGGGGGTAAGTGGGGGGTGGAGGGCGGGGGGTAGAGAGAGGAAGAGCAAGGATGCGGGAAGGGGGAGAAACAGGTGGGGGGGTGGTTACCAGGAGGGAGAAGCCAGGGGGCAGGTGGGGGCGGGGGGAGACAGGGAAACGCCAGAGGATGGGAAAACCTGGCGAGAAGAGAGGGGCGGGGCCAAGAGGGGAAAAGGGGGGGCAGGTGAGGGGGGAGGGAAGAAATCGAGGGGACAGAGGGGGACGAAGCGGGTGAGGGGCGGGGGCGGGACCAGGAGGAGAGAAGCAAGGGGCAAGGGGGCGAGGGGAGCGAGGAGGACGGGGTGGGGGGGACGGAAGGGGTCCAGGAGGGGAGAAGTGAGGGGGAGAGGGGAGTGGGGAGGATGAGGGGGAGACGGAAGAGGTCCAGGAGGATAACGTGAGCAAGGGGGCGAGGAGGATGGAGGGGGGAGAGAAACGGAGGGCAAGGAGGAGAGGGGCGCGTGGAGGATGGAGGGGGGGACCGAGGGGGTCCAGGAGGGGAGACGCGAGGGGGCGGGGCCGGGATGGGGGAGCGAAAGGCTCGAGTGGGGGGCCGGGGAGGGGAGACAGAAGGATGGAGGGAGTGAGACCGAGGGAGGCCAGGAGGGGAGACGCGAGGGGGTAGGTCGTGGGGGGGAAACAGGGAAGCCGGGGGGCGAGTGGGGGCGAGAAGCGAGGGGGCGGGGCCGGAGGCGGGGGCGGGGCCGGGAGGGAGCTGCGAGGGGCGCCCGCCTAGGGGGGCGAGCCGGTCCCGGGACGGCCGCCGGCGAGGGGGAGGGCCACCTCCCCGGGGCGCCCTGCGGGAAATTCCGGGGCTGCCGGAGGGGCCGTGCGGGCTGCGAGCGGGCGCCGGCGGGGGCCTCCTGCCGGTCGTACCTGTCAGACGGATCTTGATGCTGGAGCCGTTCCTCCGCGTCCCGGGATTCGACATCTCCCGCCAACGATCGGGCAGCCGCGGATCCAGCGCCGCCGCCGCCCCCCGGCCCGGCCCGGCCCGGCCCCGCCGCCGCCGCCTCAAGGTTACGGCTCCGGGCTGGGCGCCGGGGTCCGAGCCGGGACACAAACTCCGCGGCCCAGGCGTCCGGGCGGCCGGCAGATGGTCGAGCCGGGGGATCGGCGCTCCACCCGGCGCCCCCGACCCTCGCTCGCTCCCAGTCGAGCCCAGTCCGGAGCCGCCGCCGCTGCCGCCGCCACCACCACCTCAGAGCCGGACGCCCGCCGCCCTCGCCGCTTCCGCCGCCGCCGCCGCCTCCCGGAGCCGCGCGCGCCCGCCGCCGTGCCGGCCCGGCCCTGCGCGCCCCCGCGCCGTGCGGCCCCGCGCCTGCGTGTGTGCGTGCGCGCGCCCGCAGGGACGGCGGGGCGGGGCTCGGAGCGCGGCCGCGTCGCCCGCCCAGCCCCCGGGCGCGCGGGGTCCCAAAGCCGGTGGTTGGGGTGTCCCGCACCGGGACGGAAGAGGGGAATCGCAGGCTGCCACTGAGCTCTCCGGAGGCCCTGGGGACCCGGCACGACGTGCGGAGCCTCGGCGGCCGGGAGCGAGCGCCGGGCACGCCCCGGGGCGGGAAGGACGGCGAGGCCCGCGTGGGGTCGTTCTCGTTCTCCGCCACATTCTCCCACAGAACCGGTTTGCAGATGCGGACGTTGAGGTTCAGAGAACGGCATCGATTTTCCAGGCCTCTCACTCAAGGCTCCGAGCTCGTGAGAGCTGTTGAAGGGGGGCTTACAGCAAACCGAGGTCTGTGATTACACCAAGGGCTTTGCACGAATAGGCGTGCAATTCCAGTTTATTTACTTTTAGTAAAGAGTCTCTTAAAAAGTGCAATTCAAGGGAGGGACTTCTCAAAGAGACAAAGTCCCCTAGGTGTGTTCTGGGCAACTAGTGCTCTCTCTTGACCCGTAACAAAGTTGCCAGAATCGCAGGAAGTGCCATATATGGGCAAGGTAAATGAGATGCGAGAGGCGGATAAAGCGGTAGATGCTGTCACCATCCAGTAAACAGACGCTTGAGCCAAACAAAAAGGTAGCTTTAAGGCCCGCGTTTCCCTGCCTTCTGCTAACACTTCTCCCAGAGTTTCAGGGTGTAAAGCTCATTATGCTTTCTTCAGCAAACAAACTCCTCTGTTAACCTGTTACAAAGAGGAAATAGGTTGATAGGGAAAGCTGGGTTTGTTTATCAGACTTGTTTTTGACCAACTACCTGATTCTCTGGATGCCTTCTTTGGTTTGTGTCTTAAGGAAACCCTTGCAGCCGTCCCCTGCAGCCAGGGACCTTCCTTGGGGTCACAGTCTTCATAACAGAACCCTCTTCCTAGAGCCCCTTGACATGCCCGCCTGCCCTTGTTGAGCTCAAGACTCCGGAGCTGGATTCAAGGCTGCCTCTCCCAGCCTCCATCGGCGACTTAAAAGTTTTGACAGACCTAGATCATTTCTGTGGCCCCTTGCAGCTCAGACTTTGAGTGAGTCTAGTGAAATATCCAAGAATACAAGCTATGTTGAAGCAACAGAGCAGTGGATCCAGTATCCAGCTCTGTTTCTCTTTGAGACGATTGTCACCGAGTCCCTGGATCTAAATAAATCCATTTAGAGTCTGCAATGCCTCAAGGTATCCCCATTCTACTTTCAGTCCAGTCAGTATTTCTCCCTTCACTCGGTTCCCATATTCGAGGAGCCTCTTCTCTGTAAACTACACTAAACGTCTTCCTTTCTCTGCTTACCTGAGTGCTGGACCCTGTTCTTACGCCAGCTGTTTCTGACCTAAAAACCTTTCATTTCTTAACCTCATTGTTTTCTTACTTTCCTGGATGTCCGGGCCTTTTCTTAGTTGTTTCCTCAACTCCTGAGTCAGAAGGCTACTTCTTGAGGTTGCTGAATTGCATTTTATTTACTCATTAGCAAGTAATACGTGACTAGAGACAAGAAACATAAATAAGTCAGAGCTACAGCACTTGCAAGGCTCTGCTGAATGGCTGAAACAGACAAGACACAGTGTCAGAGGCTAGAACATAGATTACAGGACCACTCTGCCTCGGAGGAGAGAGAGAGGGGAGAGCTCAGAAGAGTCACAGAAGATCTTGATCTAGGGATTTAGAGGCAAATTGAAGTCTTTTGGGCCAAGTAGTGGGGAAGGGCACTGTAGACAGAGGGAACAGCTTGTGCAAAGTGAATGCATTTTCTAGCGTAGGGTTCAGTGGCAGTGCAGTCACATAGCTGCTGAATCTTCTCTCCTTACACCAACTCGATTAAAAGTTGATAAAGATGATAGAAAGATGTTTGCCCACTTAAAAATCATCACCCACAATTTTGTGCTGAGGCTGTAGGCCAGCCTTATATCAAACTTAAGATGTACCTTGAAGGACTTCCCCTGTGGTCCAGTGGTTAAGACTTCATGTTTCCAATGCAGGGGACATGGGTTTGACCCTTGGTTGGGGAACTAAGATCCTGCATGCTGAGTGGCAAAAAAAAAAAAAAAAAAATCACTATACAAATATCCTCAATGTGTTCAATGTGCTTCTCAGCTCCAAATTAAACCTAAAAAAAAAAAAAAAAAAAAAGTACCCTGATACCCAATCTCTGATAAAAAATACTCATAAAATTCCAGAAATTTCCCAAAAGCAGAACTTGAATTTGCCCTCTGTACCAGCAGCTATTTACATAGCGTCTACATCTAGAGATGATTTCAAGTCTATAGGAATGTTGCTGCTGCTGCTGCTAAGTCACTTCAGTCGTGTCTGACTCTGTGTGACCCCATAGACGGCAGCCCACCAGGCTCCGCTGTCCCTGGGATTCTCCAGGCAAGAACACTGGAGTGGGGTGCCATTGCCTTCTCCAATGCATAAAAGTGAAAGTGAAGTCGCTCAGTCGTGTCCAACTCTTCGAGACCCCATGGACTGCAGCCTACCAGGCTCCACCGTCCATGGGATTTTCCAGGCAAGAGTACTGGAGTGGGGTGCCATTGCCTCCTCCGGTAGGAATGTCAGGTAGCTAGAATAGGGAAACAGGTTCCAAGATGGCAGAGGAAGTGGTAAGAAGCATGCAGAGACCAGACAAAGGAAAGGAAGGAGCCTGAGAAAAGGAAAACCACACCTGCGGGTGAGAACCTTTTGAGGAAAATATGCCTAACCCACCCCTTTCCCTGATGGGCCTTGAGCATACACCCTATCTGCATTCTCTTTCCTGATTGGTCTGTGCAAACCCCATTTTACATGGGGGAATAGCAAACTGAGCCCCAGGAACCTCCAAAATATAACCTCCAAAAAGTATAAAAAGGGAAGCCAAAACGGGTTGAGGTCACTCCTACCAGGGCTGGTCTGCTCTAACATCTCAAGTGTGTACTGCATGCCACTTGCTTAATAAATCCTGCCTGCTTGAGTTGTCCTGGTCTGTCCTTTCAATTCTTTGCTACAAGACAAGAACAGAGGGCAAAAAACTGACCCAACAGGAAGATAGCTTAGGTTATATGCAAATACTATGCCATCTTATATAGTATAAGGGACTTGAGCATCCAAAAATTTTGGTATCTTCAGCAGGTCCCGGAACAGTTCACCACGGATAGGAAAGGATGTCTCCTCTCTCCTAAAGCCATCTTGACAAATAGACAGGAAATGCCAAACAATTCTGCTGAGACAGAGACGAAGTTCAGTGAGTTTCTTTGAGTATCCTCTTTACAATGACTTTACAGAAAGCAGTCTTGATCCAGCTTTCTGTGCAGGATTTGGCAACTGATTTTATTGCCCCCAGATGTATCACTTCCCTGACTCAGTGTTATTGGGCATTTGAAAGGTTTTCCAGTGGAAGAAAAAAAATTTCTTTGGATCTGACTACAGTAGTTCTTCTTTTTTGAGTCCCAAACTCTTTGAGAATCTGATAGCAACAATGGAGACTTTCACCAGAAAAATTGATCTGTGCAAGTACACACCGAAGTTTGCATCCAATTTCCGTGGGTTCATGAACACCTGAAACCGATTTATGGTTCCTGTAAGGTCCCATAACTCCTAATCTAAAGGCAACGATCAAACGGACAGCATTGGGAATATCCCATATGTATGTGTTCAAGAGGACTTCCCTGGTGGCTCCGTGGTAAAGAATCTGCCTGCCCTCATGCAGGAGATGCAGGTTTGATGCTTGGGTTGGAAAGATCCCCTGGAGGAGGAAACGTCAGCCTGTTCCAGTATCCTTGCCTGGGAAATTCAATGGACAGAAGAGCCTGGCAGGTCACATTCCACGTGGTCGCAAAGAGTCAGACACGACTTAGTGGCTAAACAACAACAACAAAATTAGTAAGTGTAAAATGCATGTGCTTGTCTTTGCTTTGAAGCCAGCAAGTTCTATGGCCCTAGGGAAATCTGTTTGGAATATCGTGCAGGGAATCCTTGGTGGGAGTTGACAGCTCTAAAACATGCCTCTTGAGAAGACACGTCTAGACCTGAGCTGGTGCCTCTGAGACCAGTGGCTACATCAAACTAACCTTTACAGTCTTTTGTAGATCTAGGATCTAGGATTCTTTTACTTTTCACCTAAACATCAAGTTTTAAAAAATAATTGTGAGACTTCCCTGGTGGTCCAGTGGTTAAGATTCCACCTGCCAAGGCAGGAAACACTGGGTCAATCCCTGGTCCGGGAAGATTCTTCATGCCACAGGGTAACTAATCCCATGTGCCACAACCATTGAAGCCTGTATGCCCTAGAGCCTGTGCTCTGCAATAAGAGAAGCCACTACAATGAGAAGTACATGGCAACTAGAGAGAAGCCCCCACTCACCTCAAAGAGAGGAAGCCTGCTCACAGCAACAAAGACCCAGCACAACCAATAAATAAATAAAAATTTAAAAAACAATTGTGATTAATTAGCACATTCATCTATTCTTTTATGCCCAGAAGGCTTTAGGATCTTTCTCTAAATTACAACCTAAACTTGATGCAAATCTTAGTATGTTATTATCATTGGTAAGGTTTTTTACTTGTTTTTTCTTATTGAAATTTTTATTGAGATAATGTTTTTAAACATGAAGTTGTAAAAAATAATACAGAGAGCTTCTAGATACTTTGCAAGTTTCCCCTAATGGTAACCTTTTGCAAAACTGTAGTATAATATCACAACCAGGGTGTTGACTTTGATACAGTCCAATCGCGTTCATATTTTCCCAGTTTTACTTATACTGGTGTGTGTGTGTGCGTGCTAAGTTCTATACAATTTTAACATTTGGTAGGTTCAAGTATCCATCACCATGGTCAAAACACTGAACACTTCCAATGCCACATGGATCCCTCATGTTGCCCTTTTATACCCACACCTTTTGTCCCACTCTCAACACCTGGCAACCACTAATCTGACTGCCATTTTAAATGTTGTTCATTTTAAAATGTTACAAAAATGGAATCATATAGAATGTAATCCTTGGGGATAGATTTTTTTTTTCATGCAGCATCATTCCCTGGAGAGTCATCCAAGTGGTTACAAATATCAATAGTTCTTTCTTTTATACTACTAAGTAGTGTTCCACAGGATGGATGTATCACAGTTTGTCTAACCAGTCACCCTTTGAAGGGCACCTGGACTAACTCCAATTTTTGGTTACTTCAAATAAACTACTATGAGCATTTGTGTACAGGTATTGATGTCAACAGAATTTTTCATTTCTCTGGGATAAGCTACCCTAGAGTATAATTGCCGAGTCATAAGGAAAGGACATGTTTAGTTTTATAAAAAGAAACTGCCAAACTTTTCCAGAGTGGTTATAACGCTTCACTTACCTACAAGCAAGGCTCCTCAGCATTCTTGCCAGCATTTCGTATTGCTATTTTTCCTTTCAGCCATCCTGATAGGTGTGTGGTCGCTGTGTTTTATAGCTGTGGAATTATTTGAGATATAGATTATTTCTTCAAATAGATGCAGCCAAGTAATTAGGGGAAATCCCAGAAAAATAACTCTAAAGTCTTTAAGGATCATAGCTGAACCCCACAGTTTGTGTTCAGAAACAAGTAAGGTCATGAGTGAAAATGAGAAAATAATTGAACTGCTATTATTCATTTAAAAATGTACTTTTGTTTAGAGAGTAGCTCCCACTTAAATTAGCAGTGTTCTGAGCAATTAAATTGATTATCCAAATAAAAGTAAGATGCTGTGAAGAACATAGGCTTGATTTTAAAGTATCTTTGATATTAATTTTTCATTTAAATGCTTTATTCTCTGCAATCACCCTCTGTGTTTTTCCAGTCCTTTAACTTTATTGAGGTTTTCAATGGCTAAGTCAAAGATCTGTCTTAGTAAATGTTACATTGCACTTGAAAATATGTGGGCTATTTTAAAATATCTTTTGATATTGTTACCTATCATGATTCCACAGTGATAAGAGAACAGACTCAGTATGATTTTAATATCTTTAGACCATAACATTTTTGCACTTTATTTTATGTCCCTGGATATGTTCCATGTATCGTGGTTTATAGTCTATGGGAACTTGAATAGAATTTGTATCCTGCTGTTGTGTAAAAGGGCTTCCCTGGGCTCAGACAGTAAAGCATCTGCCTGCAATGCGGGAGACTTGGGTTCAATCCCTGGGTCAGGAAGATCCCTTGGAGAAGGAAATGGCAACCCACTCCAGTACTCTTGCCTGGAAAATTCCATGGATGGAGGAGCCTGGTAGGCTACAGTCCATGAGGTCACAAAGAGTCAGACACAACTGAGCAACTTCACTCTGTGTGTGTGTGTGTGTTGTGTAAAAATTGTATAAATCTTAATTATGTTGAAATGGTTCATAGTGCTTTTCAGGTCTACTATATCCTTCTACTTTTCTATTCATTCTATTAATTTATGAGAGTCTGATATTGAAACTCCAACCAAAAATCTTAATTTATCTACTTAAATAATTGTATATATAGTGGAACTATATGTAACTTTGTTCTGTATTTTCCAAGTTTCCTGTAAATGTGTTATCCTACTTTCACAATTTAAAAAGTAAAAAAGAAAGAAAAAAAATTCAGAATGATTTTATTAGTAGTAAACAAAAGATGTCTAAAGTTCTAGTCTATTACTCTTTACAGATTCCATGATTTCTTTGGTCCAGAAAAATAAGATTAGAAATTCTCTAAATTTGTTATATCTCATATACAATATATAGGCAATAACCAGGGAAATCAACAAACCAAAGGAAATCTCAAGTAAGACCCCAAATCACTTGCCTGTTGGCTAAATATTTTTGCTAGTCTTACAGCAAGCTCGGAGGAGGTGCTTCTATATTCTAAGACAATGGTTCTCAAAAGTGTGGTCACCAGCGCAGCAGTGACACCTGGGGACTGTTAGGGATGCAAATTCTTGGCTGTTCGACCCAAGGAGTTCAAACAGGGTGCTCCCTGACAACCCAGAGGGGTGGGATGGAGTGGGAAGTGGGAGGGAGGGTCAAGAGGAGAGGACATACGTATACCTATGAATGATTCACGTTGCTGTGTGGCAGAAGCTAGCACAATATTGTTAAGCAACTATCCTCCAATTAAAAATAAATTTTTACAAAAACATTTTTTAGAATAAAAAAAATAAGAAAGGCAAATTCTCCAGCATGCCCTGGCCTACTACAGAGGCGAGCGCAACAGTCTGGTTTTGAACAAGCTGTCCAGGTGATTCTGATGCAAGCTCGGGTTTGAGAACCCCTGTGAAAGGCATCTAGTTGCTTTTCTAATGTCTCAACTAAAGGAAGACAGCAAGGAAGTGCAAAGATGCACAACAAAGTTATGTTGGCC